GCTGACATAAATTTCAGCTCTGTGAATGATATTTTAGGTCTGTGGGGATAGAGAAGTTTTTTCTGTTGCTGGCTTGCTCAGGTGCTTGCATTTTGGGCAGCAAAAGGAAAAGACAAACAAAATAGATATTTGGTGTAGATGGTTATATTCTCTTTGAATTATGTCCTCTGATTTTACTGGGGAAAGAAAAGGTGTGTTTTTAGTTTGATGGGTGTATAATGTGGTTTGGTCACTCTTAAGCTACTCTCTCCTAAACCTCCTTGTCCCCAACTTCAAATCCTAGTGGCTACATGCAATGAGACCAATGGTGTTTAGTTTTCCAATAGGACTATTTATTACATGTCAGGGTGGATACAGAATGTTTTGGTACAGACGGAGATGAAGATTTTGTAGTGTGGTAAAGTGTCTCGTGAATAGAAAACGCACGAACATAACAATTGAAGTATCCCAAGTTGGTAATTGCACAGAGGGAAAATCCAAAATTTCGTCGAAAGTAGAGTTGAATTGAATCGACCTTCAAATCATCAAATATATGATGTCATAAGTTTGGGATCGAAATCCTCAATTTACATGCTCTTTTTCAGCATGATATCCTGCACTTTGTGTTCATGATATCTATATTCAGTTGTGCCTTGGAGATACAATTGAAGCACCTCTTTGAGAAAGAATCGAAATAGAATTAACTTAAATTTGAGATAGGAATTAAATGAAGAAATAGCATGTAAATATCAATAGCGATGTAAGAATTTACCTTGAACCAAAATCATGAAGGTTGCCTCCAAAATCTCCCAAAAATTTCTACTCCTTTTATTTCGTATTAAGTGAATTATTGATGTTTTTTTTGTTGTTCAAAATGATTGAATTATTCAAAGTTCAAGATAAATATTTGAATTTTTTTCTATGTTTCTCCTTTCCTTTAATGAAGTTTTACATTTTCTAGGAGATAAATTACACTACTTAAAAAGTTATATTTATGATTTTACAAAAGGGTAATATGAAAAATATGGTATAAATTATGTCCATAAATATTTTTCTTAATAGGTGTACACTACTTCATAAATTCACTTAATATGGGATAGATGGAGTGCTTTTTACCTATAGGACTAAAATCACAATTTTCCACATTTATAACTACGAATGATTTCTTTTTTGGTAATTAAAATTTTATTTACAAGTGAACGTTACAAATCAAGAAAAAGCTGTAGGTATGGACATAAGTTTCATCCTTGCTTTAGCTTAATATTCATATCTAATTAGCTACCTTTTTACAGATACATATTCAAATCATAGAATCTAGTAGCTAGGCGGGTTATCTATAAGTGAGCTCATTTTTTACACCTCTAATCTAGGATATGTATTGCTTCTTCCATGCATCTCTTGAATGATATGCCTAATGATTGAACTTGATAGTTGCTTCTTTTGTGTGAATACTCTGTTGTTATGCGCTAACCTTTGGTAATATATTGAACTAGCCATTGACAATTTATATACGAGTATTGTGCTATCTTTATCCTTCATATATTTGATTGTCCAAAGTCTAGTTCATTGTGCCTCTATTTATTCTTTGCCAAGTTAATATTTTACTCCACACTTTTGCAGTATACGAATATTGACAAACAGGTAGTTGAGATCCTCATTCATCTGTTGATATAAAGGGCATATAAGGGATTGTATGTTTGTATGACACTCTATTTAGCCAATCTATTTTTAATCGCAAGCTTTCTATTTACTACTAGGTACAAAATGAGCATCCATTTAGGAGATCTCATATTTATCCAATCTAGTTATCTCTACTTTACCTTTTTCATTGTACCCCCTCATTTGCATATATATTTTGTCAATGAAATACTTTTCCATGCCTTAGCATAACCAACCTCTTATAAATGTGGAGTATCTTTTAGAATTCTTTGAACCATCAAAGGAGCGTGTTTTGCTTGTATTGTCTACACATTATTCTATCCATAATAGTTATGTATCCAAGCAACCATAACTTGTCTTTTTTCTAGTATAGATTTCACAACTTTTCAATTGCAGTCTCGTTCCATATATATATGTCAAGAAAATATAGTTCTCCATTTGCTTTAGGGAAACACAACTTGTCTCATGTAATCAAAGTCTACCTTGAAATTTCAATATTGTCGATCTATAATTTTTTTTTACACGAAGCCTCCATTGTTTGAATAATCTTCTTAGAAAGCGCAATTATTTGGGACCAAAACATTTGAATAGCATACCGTACACTTTTGATGAGCTGAGCTTTATCAACACATGATAAAAATTTAGTGATCCTGCTTGTAATCCTACTTAGCATCTTCTCCAGTAATGATTCGCATTGGACTATGGATATTTTTTTAATACTCAAGGTACCAAGTTATTTGAAAGGAAATATTTCTTTGACAAATTGCAATTATTTCAATATTTTCACTTGTAATTGTTGCTTAACTTCACCAAAATAGACACCGCTCTTATTTATATTTACAATCAGACTTAAAGCTTTAGAAAACTCTATAGAACACTGATATAAACACTTTACTAATTTTATATCTCCTCTGCTGAATATTGATAAATCATCAGCAAAGCTCAATTACATTATCCTCTAATTTTTGCATCTAAGATGATAATGAATGAAAGTTAGGATTTGTATGCAAACTCTTCAGAATTCTTGTCAAATAATCCATTGCTAACACAAATAAATAAGGGGGACATTGAATCACCTTGTCTTACCCCTCTCCTTGCTTTAGATAATGTTGTACTATGTCCATTGATCTGAATGGAATATATGACTATTGCAATTATATTATTCAGTTATGACTCTAAGTTGACATTTTGAGTTCCACCGGTATCTGCTCCAAGAATGTTCATTCTAGAGAATTATATGTTTTTTCTGTCAATTTTCATCGTACATCTTTTAGAAATTTTCTGTCTTTTATATCTTTTCACAATTTCATGACTCAATATCACATTGTCATTCAAAGCTTTTCCTAGTACAAATGTTAATTGGTTAGGATTCACTACTCTCTATGATCAGTTTCAATATAGAAGTGATCACTTTAGATATAACATTGTATATTGTTGAGCAACATGAAATTGTCAGTACCTACTTATTTTAGTTGATTTTTTCACCTTAGGTTTGAGTACTATATCAGTACAATTGATAGGCTGGTACATCTCACTGGTGTTAAAGAAATTTAGAACTGTTTATGTGATCTCCTCCCTTACTATTGATCAAGTTTTTTTTAAAAACACAACATTTAATCCATCTTTTTTTGGAGCTTTTAGATTACTAATGAGTTGTTTTCACTTCCATCTCTGTTATTGAAGCTGCTAGTTGAGGTTGTTGAGCTCTATTTAGCATTGCTGCCCTCTTTTATTATATTAATTTTTTTTTGTATTCACATTTGGTAAGAAAGTAACGGCATGCCCAAACAATTCGTGATAGAAATTCAATGCCTCCTCTTAAATATCTTTCTGAGAGCGCACAATTATACCTGCAACAGTAGTGAAACTAGTTACAGCATTCTGGGCCACTCTATTTTTCATACGACCAAAAAAGTATCTTGTATTAGCATCACCTAGTTTCAACCAATGGCGAATTTAGGTGCAAAAAATAGGACACCCAAACCCGTGGTCTCTTCGTAAAATTAGATATTTTATGTATATATTTTCTAACATTTGTATAATATTATATTTTTGCACCCGTACTATAAAAATTCTAGTTGATCCACATGGTTAATTGTTGAGCTTTTGACTTTGAGGACTAAAGATCAATTCCCACTTAATACATTTTTCTTGGTGCACCCATGTTCGGATCATCCTAGATTCGCCTCTGGTTTCAACCATTGTTTCATGGACATTTACCTCATAGAACTTTACTCAACCAAACTTCATTTCTCCAATTGTTGTGTCAATTTTTTTTCCTCCCTATTAACATGCACCATATTATGGTCTATCATATCAACTTGTATTTGGTAAAGTTTTTTTATGATGTGTTGAATTTTGTTCTTCATCTCTCTAAATTCAGTATTATTCAATTTTTTAAGTGCAATTTTCATCTTTTTAAGTTTCCACAACTGTCTTCATGTCTCCTTTTTATGTCATTGTCAAGCTTGATTAGATAATTGAAGAAATTTAGGATAGTCTGTAATGCAATTAAAGAATTAGAAAATTATATAAGGATTTTGCAATATGTATTCAGTGTCAGACTCAATGGAGCATGATCAGACATTCCTGCCTTAAGATCTTTACCTCCAAAGCTAGTATATGAATCATTCATTCAACATTTACTATACCCTGTCAATCTTGATACAAATGTGTTCAGAAGTACAAGTGTATGAACCCCCGACTGTTTACAAATCATTCATCCCAACATCTAATAGAAATTTATTAAAATTCTTGACTTATACATCTTGCACTGGACTGCCTTGAGGTGTATCCTCTATCTTTAGTATTTCATTATAATCTTTCATACATATAACATATTATTGGCCTCTGAGTATTAACAATCAAATCCCTTAGGTCCTCCCACAGTTTCAATCTATCATGAACTATATGTAATTCAACATTGCACTCAAACATAAACTCCAACGCACTATTGATCAAACTTATTTTCCACAACACACTATACATGCTGAGAATCTCATGGTACCCAAATCCTATCAGTGAAAACATAGTTCTCTTAATAACATATTTCTATTTATGATGTTTTTGTCATTATTTAATCTTTAAATATACAGTGATATTGTTCCATATAATTTATTAAAAATAATGTAAATATAAAAATTAAATGTTCGCTTAAAGGTTATAATATTTGAATTTAATTTTACTATGGAACATATTTATTAATATTATAAAATGATAATATAAATTTACGAATATTTTTATAAATTTTAAAACTTATCAATATGAATTATATATATTTTTTAAAAGTCAAATATCTTTTTAAAAAATTATAGTCAAACACCCAAAAATATTTGGTAAGTATTTTCCTTTGGCATATGCATTAGAAATTTCAGATAGGCTAGTAGTTTTGCTCTATTCCCTATATGGGAACTGCAAAACAGAGTTGAGAACAAGGAGATTCAGTTAGGGTTTAGCGAATGGCTTCTACATCAAATCCAGACACCCATGAATCATGTATGCAATATCTCGCCTTTCCTCAAATGAATTTGCATCTTCCCAATCCAAGAATAATCAATTGTTTTCTCTATTTCAATTTGCAGGCAGAAAAGCGTCTATAAAGATCCGGATGATGGGCGCCAGCGTTTCTTACTGGAACTCGAAATTCATTCAATGCCTCGCTAGCCCAACTTATATTCACTGTATCTATCTATTCCCTTCTGCTATTTAAACATGATAATTTCTGGGTATTTCTCAAAATGATCGATTATTGTTAGTTTTATGTTATAAATATTGTTGGATGGTTCATTCTTCTTCATTATGTTTTAAGTGCGTGAAATGCAATGTGTTTCAATAGGACACAAGTCAAATTTGGGTGCAAAAGCTTCAATTTTTCTATCCATTTTTTATCTACTTTTTGTGCTTGACTTTGTATTGATTCTGATGTTGATTTGGCTCAGAATAGATATTTTGAAGATTAAGCTTTTATTGGGTACTTGAAATACCTTCAATACTGGCAACGAGATGAGTACATTAAGTTTATTATGTAACTTTTTTGATGCAGTTCAATTCCATGCTTAATTTGGTTGATGGTCCTTGTTCCTTTTTTGTTTGCTGTGGACTATGGGTATCATTAATTAACTGTGTTGGTCTTCCCGTTCTTTATGTCAACGCAGGTATCCACACTGCCTATTCTTTCTCCAAAATCAAACATTTCGTAATGCAATGGTGCATCCCGCCAACAAGGTAAAAAGTTATATCATGTGTTGTCCTGGTTTCCTTCTCAAATTTTGACATTCCCTTTAGGTAGTTAAGAGTTAAGACTGTCAGCCACTATAAAGAAAGTTCGTCTCCCTTTGTATAAACACAATTTTTGTGGACAAAAAATGCAGCCAAAGCACTTTATAATACATGTTACTTCATAGTCTTAGGCTCTTAGCCATTTGCCTTTTTTCACTTTCTTAACTTTCTCATAGTTTCTAGATATAAAACTTATAATTATTTAATCGTGTTGTCCAGGTTAATCCTTGCCCGGACTTCTCATCTCATTTCACTTTTTATCGTCTATTGCACTATGTTTGCCAACCTAAAGTTCTGGCACATAAATCTGTGATACATGTTACTATAAAGAAAGTTCGTCCCACTTTGTGTAAACACAGTTTCTATGGACAAAAAATGCAGTCAAAGCACTCTATAATACATATTACTTCATCGTCTTAGCCATCAGCCTTATTTCCCTTTCTTAACTTTTTCATAGTTTCTAGACATAAAACTTATAATTATTTAATTGCGTTGTCCAGGTTAATTCTCTCCCCGAGGACTTCTCATCTCATTTCACTTTTTATTAACTATTGCACTTTGTTTGCCAACCTAAAGTTCTGGCATATAAATCTGTGATAGGATCTAATCTACATGTTTGTAACAACTATTAGGAAGTGGCACATAGGCAGCAATTTTACTTCTGGAAGAACTATAGAAATAACCGGTTGAAACATATTTTGCCTCGGCCGCTTCCTGAGCCTGCAACTGCACCAAGTTCTGCTCCACCTGCATCACTACCATCAAGTGTAGACCCACCAGCCGCTCCACCTCCTGCTCCTACACCTGTTACAGCTGCAGCTCTTTCCCAGATGCAGTATGCCATCCCTCCTGGATCTGGTCTTGCTAAAAACTGACCCAAGGAATGCTTCTGTTGATCGAAGAAAGAGAAAGTATTTCCTCTCGTCTTTTACTTTCTCTTACTGTGAAAACTTTGTCAAAGCTTGTTGTTGCATGCTCCCTCTTGTTGTGTTTTTATATTTTAGGGTTAGATTTATGACGTAATGTTTCTTACATAGTTAATGACTTGGATAATTTTGTTTTAGCAGGAAAGACGGATGATTTTCTTTACTCATAGCACATACCTCCTATCAATTAATTCATGAATTAAGGTAATACATTTTGCACCCCATGATTTCATTTTCAGAATTTGTGTTGCAGTTCCCTCGTTGCCAAATGCATTTATGAAATCATATTAAGAGTGTGATTTTTTTATATCCAATTTTAGAGTCCTGACCAAGTCTCAAGCACGATCAATGACCTGTAATTTCTTTTTCTTGTCAGAAAACATAGTGCTAAAGTTTTGTGAGAGTTCAACCACACATTTTTGTTGGGTTCTCTGGGATCAAATTTATAGTAAAAAATAAAAATAATTTTATTTTCCTGAAACCAAGTAACCAAAACATAATGGAAGCAACTTACTTTTCACCTCTTCTAGGATTATCAATGGAGTAAAGAAGTTATTCCAATCACCATATTTACTTGTGAACTTCAAGTTTTGATGATAAATGAAGGATTAGCTTCTTCAATGTGGTCCAACTTTAGGAACCTTTGCCTATCATCTATGGTAAATGGGAGGAGTATTTTCCACCATGACCAAACATTTAGTGTCATGATGTTGCTCAGATCTTACGTATCATTTTTTGACTCTATCAATGGTACATGACCGAAGTTGGAACCTAGTTGTTTTTATCCTACATGTATTTTCATTCTTGTTGCGAAAGCCGAATCTTTAGAGTGTGATGAAATCACAACTGCTATATTGAAAGGCAGCTAATAAATAGTTAATGAGACCATATAAAAATGGACAAAAATTTATGAGGTTCGGTAAAATTTTGTTTTTTGCCTAGTCCTCAAACACCACAACCAACCAAAATTTATTTCAATCCATAAGAATACAAGTGAAATACTATATGAGAGAAAGAAGACTCAAATGCCTTAGAAGATGAGAAGGCAAGTGAGAAGTGTGTCACAAATGAACAATTGACTACATATTTATAGGAAATGAATTCTTCCTCTTAATGTCATCAATGACATCACTAGTATGCAAATGTCAAGATTCAACTTGTGAAACTATTTAATGGTTTGCCAAAATTTCTACTACAAATTCAATACCTTGACATTTTGTCCCAATGAAAAATTATCTTCCTTCCAACTATTCACACTAGTTCATATAAAATCTTGTCAAATTTAACAAATTTGTTTCAAAGCAACCACATAGCATACACAGATAGAGCTCTGATACCAATTGTTAGCTAATAAATAGTATTTGTAATGGAAGACAAGATAATGAAGAGTCCACGTCGGGTGTCAGTAATACGTCATCATTGACATCTTTGCTTATGACAAGAGTTCTGTCAAATGCGAATTTTGCAGTTAAATTTTTTGTTGGATTTATTTTTCTTTTTGTTGGATTTGTTGAATGCAACAGAAAAACCGATTTGATTATGCATGTTATCCTGGAATTTTCCTTAGGCACATACGAGAGAATCAATTATGGACAAACTTTTTTGGTTCTGATAATGTGGTCACCACAATTTAGAAGCTCAAGATAGGTGTGGATTAATTTTTATTCCCGAACCTCAAGGTGTTAACCAGCTTTTGATTAGCTATTAAAGAGAGGCATATCAGTGACTCCATCAGGAGAAAGCTCTGTAGTTGCAAAGATATGTCTAGTACAAAAAAATAAAATTATTGCTTGAAACATGAAAAGAGCAAACAAAGGACAATGTACAACAACGGCTTTCTCTTACCCCAAATGGCATGCGTCTGTTTCACCTTCAAAAGTCTTTTCAACCTTAACAACTAGCTAAATGTTGCCGGAAGGATCATTTTGGGTTACCTTTTCTTGGTCTTTTCATTAGTCAAGTGATATATGAGTTTAGATCTTCACAAAAAATAGCTACATGGTTGGAGAAGCGTGTTTCTACTTTAATGCTACTATAATAAGTATTTTCCTAATCAATGTATAAGATGTACTAAGATTATTTTCTTTGGTTCCATCATTTTAGATCTCTAGAATTTCTTAAGGAAACAAATGAAAAGGTTGGCTTTCCTCATAAATGCTTGATCTTCTTTCCTAATTGAGAATAAATTCCATGTAGCTTCAGATTAGACTCTCTTTCTATTGCAAGTTTAGAGTGTTTCCAGATGTTCTTCTACACGATTTCCAGGAGTCTGAGGGGTTGTATTTATGATTGAGTTTATCAAATCTTTCTTGTCACGAAGTTTGTTTTAGTTGCTTCTTACTGCGAAACTCAGAGTTCTTTTCTTCTCAAACGTGGGATTATCTAAATAAGATACTGTTAGATGAATGCCAAAACTGTAATATTTATTGTTTGGGACTCATGATTCCCGATCAGGTAGATCTAGTTAGCACTGTTATAGCTATGGAATTTTTACAATAATTAATTTCAAATTTTCTCATGCATTTCAATGGAGGGACTACTTATTCTTGCATTTGTTGAAAAATTGTCATTTGTGGATAGGGATTCCATTTCTCCGGTATTGTTTCTGTTATGAGAAGCTTGGCTAATGTGTAATACATTAGTGTGAATCTTTTTACATAAATCCCTAGTTTATCTTCCGATACATTGTTAGTTTGATGACAAAGTCATCTACCTGAATAAATAAGTATTTATTGCAATTTTCTTGTGTGTCCTTAATATACTTTGAACTGCTTTCGTGCCAAATTAATTTTGATTTGTCTCCTTTCTATTGGTAAATGGATTTGACCACTTGTCTTCCTCGGAGAAGTTTGATTTTTCTAAAAGATTCCTCCGTTACAACTTCATTTTTGTCCCCTATTTAAATTAGATTTTCTTCTTGGTTAAGCTAAATCTTCTTCTATAGGTTGGCTTTCTTCATCTGTTCTTCCAATCACCATTAAGACAGGATATCTTGCAGGAAGATGACTGGAGAAGTTCGCTGCTTTGAACCTAGGCGATCTTTGTGGGCGATTCCAGAACCTAAGAGTGGGATTTTTTTCTTTCCCTTTTTGCACTCTGTTCTTTTAATCTCAGATATATCTAGAAAAAGAAATCTATTTCTAGGTGAAAATGGTTGTTTGTTTGTTCCACTTTCTTTGATTATTGGTTTCTCTTCCTCCTTTTTTGTTTCCGCTAGCTATATCCATCCTGTAATCGGGATGATTGTCTAGATCCCATCCACTTATAGAAATTCCTTTAGGTACTAATTTCTTCTTGGACACAAAGTAGCTTATCATTTTCTCCGGTTTCTTTTTGCTTTTTTCCTTTTTTGTGTTTGCTATATCCTTTCTGTAATTAAAATGATTTTGTAGATTTAGAACATCCTTGTATGAAAATACTTTAAGGTGCTAATTTCTTGTTGGACAGACTAGCTTGTCATTTGACTTGTCAAAGGAAAAAAAGCTATTATTTGACCCATGAATTTGGTTATAATTGATTACTCATCTGTTTCTTGTAGATAAAATGTGATTCTGGTCGAGTGTAAATGTGAAATTGGGCTACACCGATTGGGTTCTCGAAAAAACTGAAGTAGACCAAACTGTGGTCGACAATAAGTGACACATTTGGCTTGCATTAGCTATCCATTAAAATTAGGAAAATGGGGAAAAGGAGGACCCTTTTATTATAATTAATGTTATTAATTTGTAGCTCGTTTCATGATATGATTATGTGAGAAATTCAGTATTATTGGAAGTCAATGTTTTGTTGCTTTATGTGATAAGTACCGGTAGGCAATGGGTTATCCCCTCATGGGTGAAGCATATAGAAACACAGAGTGATCACAGCTAGAAGCAGTTGAGTCTTTGAATCTGACTATAGAAAGAAAAGAATAGACAAAGATAAGGAAACTAGTATGCTGCTACGCTCTTAAGATTTTTCATTGTTTTCTTCTTCTTGAGGTTTAACACCTGCTCTACTGTTGTGATGGATTCAATAATAACATATACTCTTTCTGTTTCTCAACTTATTTTGATTTACATCTTTCTCTTTTTCCTCTTCAAACAATGAATCTTTCTTCTTATCTTAGTGTGCAAGTCTTTTCGTTTGAACTTCTTCTTTTCTCATATTTTACTCTCTTAGTACATTTATTTGAGTAGTTAATATGAAGTATGTTGCAAATTAATTCTTTTCTTATCGTTGATCATTTGCAAATTGAAAATCAATGTGATTGAAGTTATTGTATATGGGCCTTGTTGAAATTACATGTGAATTATGTTTAATTTGAATAGTTGTATTAATATTGCCATGATTGTACATCGGGTGGTAGTAATTGTGATTATGATTGCGATTTTATATTATAATTACTTAATTCATACATGTTAGATGATCTTTTTTTCAAATTCATATATGTTACGTGATTTTTCTGTTTCCAGTATATGGGTGTTTCCTTCAAAAGGTGTGTGAGTGTTGCTTCTTGCCATTTGCTTAAAGTCCCATAGGACTTCTATTTATGTTTGTGTATATATATATATATATATATAAACTGGTAACTTTTTGTATTCCTCAGCATTAAGGGCTATGCTGGCCATCTCCAAAAAACGGTTACAAGAAACGGAAAAGACTAAAAAGAAATACTTACAGAGAACCTTTGAAGTCCACTAATTGGAACTCATTTTCTATATCCTGTTCTTTACACCAAAAACCTAAAGTAGTAATTACTTTCCATTTGATCTTCTGTATTGTACACTCCTTTCCTTCAAAAATTCTCTGATTCCTTTCTTTCCATATAATCCACCAGATACATGCTGAAATTGTTCTCCATCATCTTTTCTAACTTTTATTGCCTCCCCTTTTGTTCCAGCAACTAAGAAGGTCAAGGTCAGAGGTGTGTTCAGGCATAGTCCAATATTCATTGGCTATGCTTGTAAACAGAGCCCACACCTGAGCAGTTACCTTACAGTGCATGAATAAGTGTTTGTTAGTCTCCAGAGCTTCTTTACAAAGGAGACATCTAGATACTATGTTGATGCGCCTCTTCTGCATTGCCTCATGAGTCAAACATTTTTTCCTAGCAACCAACCAAGTGAAGCACTTCACCTTGGCAGGAGCCACACTTTTCCATATTGTGTTCAAAGGTCCAATGGATCTTCCTGCACATTTTTTAAGTCCCCAGTTGTATAATCTATTCACTGAAAATACCCCATCTTTGTGATGTCCCCATGCTAATCTGTCTGGCTCTAGAGTAGTACCTGGGAATCCACCAATCAAGCCTAAACACTCCACCATTCCATCAATCTCCCAGTCATTTAGCAGTCTTCTAAATATTATATTCCAACCTTGTGGTGACCACATCTCCTCTATCTTTTTGTTGGTATTTGTGCATATTGAGAAAAGAATAGGGAACAAGTCCCTCAAAATCCCATTTCCACACCAATCATCTAGCCATAACTTTGTTTTGTCTCCTTTGCCCACCACAATTTTTGAGTTGTTCTTTAGATTCTCCCAAAGGTTTCTGATGGTCCTCCACACCCTAACCCCATAAGTTTCATTAACTTCACTAGTGCACCAGAAGTCCTCTTGCCCATATTTGTGGTTTATTATCTCTTTCCATAGAGCCTGCTCCTCTTGATTATATCTCCACAACCATTTTGAGAGGAGGCTCATGTTATGAACTTTTAAATTTCTCACGGGCCTCCCATTTTTCTTGCTTTGTTGTACTACATACCATTTCACCAGGTTGAATCCATTTGCTATCTTGTTCCCTTGCCATAAGAAGTCCCTTCTGAGTGCATCTAAAACCTTCACTATCCTGCTAGGAATAGGAAAGAGGGACATCACATAAGTGGGTAAAGAATCCAGAACTGAGTTAATTAGTGTAACTCTACCTCCCAGAGATAGGTATTGAGATTTCCATATAGCCAATTTCTTCCCTGTTTTCTCAATAATGCCATTCCAAAAAATTTCTGCTTTGTGCTCGGAGCCCGAAGGCATACCAAGGTAAACTGTTGGGAGCTTCTCTATCTTGCACTTCAAAATGCTTGCAAGATCCTCAATCTGTTGCACTTCCTTAATTGGAAAAATGCTACTCTTTCTCCAGTTTACTTTTAATCCTGAGCAAGCCTCAAAGACCACCAGGATCACTCTTTAGTAGGAAATTTGTTCCTGCTCAGCTTCATAGAATACCAATGTGTCATCTGCATACAAAAGATGTGTTAGTTCAATTGTATCATTTACCCTGTTCTTTAAGGAAAAGCCCTTTATCCAGTTATTCTGAGAAGCAACTCTCATCAATCTATCCAAACCTTCCATGGCTAAGATAAATAGAAAGGGGGATAGTGGGTCCCCTTGTCTCAGGCCTCTTTCTGCTGGAAAAAAACCAACTGGTTCTCCATTTACAAGTATGGAGAACCGAGTGGTTTTAATGCATAAATTTATCTAGCTTAACCATCTCCACCCAAACCCCATCTGCCTTAGGATATTGATTAGAAACTCCCAGTTCAAATGGTCATATGCCTTCTCAATGTCTAGCTTGCACATCAGTCCAGGGGTTCCACCCCTAATTCTAAAATCAATACACTCACTAGCTAGAAGTGCAGCATCTATGATTTGCCTTCCTTTGATAAAGGCCATTTGGTGCTTGTTTATTAGCTTACTGATCACCTTTTTCAACCTTTCTGCCAGCACCTTAGTTATGATCTTGTATACCCCTGTGATCAAACTGATAGGTCTAAAATCCTTTAGCTCATTTGCCCCCACCTTCTTTGGAATTAAAGCTACAAATGTGGCATTAAAACTATTTTCAAACTTTTGATGAGCATGAAATTTGTGGAAGGTCTGCATCACATCATCTTTGATGGTTTCCCAAAAAACACCGAAGAAAGCCATTGTATAGCCATCTGGTCCAGGTGCTTTATCAACAACACACTATTTTATTCCTTCCAAAACTTCTTCCTCCTCAAAGTCTCTAGACAACAAGATTTGTTCTTCTTCTGTGATTGTTTGAACATCCAAGATGTTAAGATGGTCTCCAACTTTCTGTCTCCTTGTACAAAATCTGATAAAAATCCACAATTTCATTTATGATTGCAACAGGATCTGAAGACTCTTCTCCATTAATCACTAGGATTCTATAGTATTGTTCCTTTTGTGGGATGTCACCATTCTGTGGAAGAACTTGGTGTTCTTATCTCTATTCTTTATCCACTGAATTTTGGATCTTTGTCTCCAATGGATTTCCTCATACTCCATTGCTATATGAGCTTTCAAAAGTTGCCCATCATCTGTTAATGCTCTGTGCTCTTGAATGTCTTCCAAACTGCCAATTTGTTCCAGTAGGTGTTCTTTCCTAACCCTCCAGTTGCCTCTATTTTCTTTGCTCCATTCTTTGAGCTTCTTTTTTAAGAAGCTCAATTTTGAGGCTAGTATAAAGTCAGGACTGCCTGTCACATTAAAGGAACCCCACCACTCCTTAACTTTGTCTCGAAAACCCTCCACATTTAACCACCACTTCTCAAACTTGAAATATGATTTTTTGAAAACCTCATCCCCACAGGTCAGTACTATTGGATTATGATCAGACCCCAAACTAGGTAAAGTACTTTGTCTAATTTGGGTGAACATCTCATCCCAAGGAAAAGAGTACAAGAATCTGTCGATTCTTGAAGCATTTTTCTGATTTGCCCCTCCTCTCCATGTGTAGGGTCCCCCAAATAAAGGGGGATCCACAAGTTCCAATTCATTGATGCAACTGGAGAAATCAGACATAGCCTCGGAAATTCTGCTACAATTGGTTTTTTCAGATGGAAACCTTGTGGTGTTGAAATCCCCACATACCACCCATGGCCCTTCACAGAAGCTCCTCATTGCACCCAACTCCTCCCACAATTCCTGTATCTCCCTCCCATCGCATGGTGCGTATACTGCAGTGATGAACCAGATGAGGTCTTGATTTAAACCACTTAAACTGCTGGTAATGCTTTGGTTTCCTCTTTCTACTGGTTCCCCTTTCCAATTCCTTTTGTCCCACATTATCAAGATTCCCCCCTTACTACCTAAAGATTCCATCCACATTCCTCCCATCCATCTGTTTCCCCCCAACTGTTGCACATACTCCCCTACCTCCCCCCTAAGTTTCGTCTCCACCAACACTATTATGTCCACCACCTCTTGTTGTATTCTACTGCTTACCAGATTCCTTTTGGTATCCATGTTGAGCCCCCTCACATTCCATGAAAATATTTTTAGTCTTCATGATAAATGTGAGGTTGCATTTCTCCCTCTACTCCTTGTTGCATTCCTGGAATCTTTATATTTGTAATTAACATCAAAGTTAAGATTCCTTACTTCTTTGGGCACCATCTGATTCTCACATGTCCCTGAGATGGGGTCTATTTTTGTTAACTCTTTGAGCCTCTTATGGTCAATTTTCAGAAGTAAATTGAAAGCTTCCTCTGTGCACCCCTCGGAAGCTACTCCAAACTTTTTGCTTAGCCTCAACAGATTTTTCTGTACCCATTCTGTTGCCTTGCCTTTGACTTCTTTGCTGCATTCTGAAGCATCACATTGAATGGATGTTGGGTCACCCAGAATTGTGATTTGTTTCGAACTATTCTGCCCATATAACTCAGCTTCTTCTTCATTTAGTTCTTCCAAAATTTGTGGAGATGCTTCTGCATTCACCTGTGTGTTGACTTTCGATTGTACATAATTGCTAATTGAATCTTTTACCTTTGTTTCTTCCATCAGATTCTGATCAGTTGAGGAGTATATAATTTCATGATTTTTTTCCCAGCGATTTACATCGCAAATAAAAGGCTCAGGTTCTGTCGGGCAGTCTTTTAAAAATTGGTTTTTTAACAAGCCTAAATGACTTGGTCCAGGGTTTAAAACCAAGTGGCCCTCTATTTGTTCTGAAGTGGCCCCCTTTGTGACTTTTCCACCCACGTGACTTTTTTCACCAAAAAAAACCTTTTCTTCTCTGTTAGGTTTAACAGGCAGCTTTTCAGACCTATGAATATCTCTGCACCTAGACAGATCTGATGGGTTCCTCCCTCGATACCCACCCTCGTCTCTTTCCTTACTTGTACACGCTTCCTCATTGTACTTTTTACGAAAAGTCACCGGCGATTCTACCCATATAGGTAGAGAGAAGATGTTCTCCTCATCGGCGATCTCAATGGATGCCGAAATTTTTTTTGCCGGACCTTTGACACGAATCCTAGCCCAACGGAGATGATTTTTTATATCGGTTTCTTCTTCTGTCTCTATCCAGCCGCCACACCGATCTCCAATTTCCTTCATTATTGGCCTGGACCAGAGATGTAGAGGCAACCCTAGAACTCGAATCCAGAACCATTCGAACTCATGGGTTATTGGGAAAGCCCCAATGGTCGGTGACCACCATTGAAGCTTTAATCTGCTCCCTTGTCTTCTCCAGTCACCCATCAAAACATGTTCTGCTGTTTTTCTGGACTGGAATTCAAAAAGAAATAAAATTCCATTCATATCATAGACTTGGACTCCATGCACTCCATTCCAAGTCTGTTGGGTCCATCTTCTTACATCATTTCTAGTGGGTGTATCATCTTCTCCAAAAAAATTCCTCACTAGACAACGTGCCAATAGGTCTTCGTGTTCTAATTGGACTCGAGCTTTCAACATGCTGCCTTCTTCTGCTAGCTCTGTCTCAATTCTGGTCCATTTACTTTTCTGCAAAACGTCTCTATAACTCCTTCCCCCCTTGTTAGCGGCATAGTCTGCCTCCCCTGATAATTTAAATGCTTTTGTGTGTTTTATACCCCCATTAATGAATGCTTCTATCTTCTTAGCTAACTTCTCCCACCCCTCATTGAATGCACTTTCTGGGAGTATAATAATTGCTCTGTCACTACCTTTAACTGAAATTAGAGACAGGTATCTCCCGTATTGATTGAATTTCAAAGCTATAAAGAAGTTAGTTGAGACATCCCTGCATCTCAATGACTTGGCCGCTTTCCCTCTAGCCTTTTGCAGACCCAACCGAGTGCTCCCCTGCTAAGAACCATTCTCCTCATGTGATGCCTAGCATCTTCAACCCAGTCATACCATACTTCAGCTTTTGATCTAGACTCTGTGATGTCGCAAGACTTCCCCCCAGATCTGAAATAAACTCTGTTGTCCATCTGAACAACAATGGAGTTAAAAAAGAGAGAAAGAAAGAAAGAGAGTGGTATTCCGGTGAAAGAAGTCCACTGGAGAAAAGAAAAAACCACCGAAGTCCAGAAGGGACTTCAGAAGATTGTCTCGAAACTAGTGCCCGGGAGCATACTGCTCTTTTTTTCCAACAATAAATGTACTTTTTGTGTATATATATATAGCCTTACCCCTTTCTACCTTCAAGAAAGGGGCAAGGCTGTGTTCACACCACCCTCCCAAGATCCCACTTGTGAGACTACACTGGCTATTTAGTTGTTAATTGGTATGTGTGTGTGAATGTATATATATAGAGAGAGAAAGAAACACAAGTTAATGGTAGCTTTTTAAAAACATGAGTGAAACTTTAGGGTGCTTCGGAAGGTCTCTCAATTATCTGACGCATAGAAGAGCAGTGAATGTGTTTAAGTTATCTTGGGTTTTGGACTTCTGTTTTTGAAGAGAGTGTGTTTGTCTTTGTGTGTGTGAGGAATTCTTTTCCTTTGATAGCAAACCCCATCCTCCCAGAAAACAAGGGAAATCCAAACAATCTTATGTGACTGTTCATAATTGTGACTATGTGCAGATCCAACTGGTTCTGCTACTCAGGCTGAAAAGGAGGAGGTGGATTCGCGATCCATATATGTCGGTAATGTGAGATTTGTCGCCTTTACCTCAACATGTAAATTTGTTTTTCCCTACGTGACATGTTCTTACTAATTGCGTCATCCTTCTCTTCATAAGACTTATATTGTGTTAATCAATGACATGAATTAATTTATACTTCAACCTTATCTGATTATTTGCTTTCACATTATAATCCAATAAAACTGTAGAATACTTTATTGCTCAAAAATTTGTTGCCTATAGTTTTTGCCCGCTTCTATTTATATTATTTTTTGTTCTTTGACACTGTAGATGCAACTTTAACATGAACTCACGTAGAAAGCAATAATAGTGTTCAACTTTCTAGAACAGACTTATTTTGCGCATCAGTTGTCTAATTGCTGTACTCTCAGATTATTATTTTTCATTATGAACACAGAAAATTGGTTTGTTGCTCTTCTACTTGTTCCTTTACTTTTGTTTTCTGTTTTACTTTCTCAGCTTTGCTCTTGTAGCCTTAGCTTGCAATTGGTTGTGTGCAGAAGAATGATTACTTGGGATAAGTTTGTTCAGAAATACATGACAGGATAAGGCAGCACTATAGATTGCTCGGTCTGAATATTCCATTTACGGGATTAGTTGCTGCATTTTGCCGTTAGGTTGAGTTGCTGTATTGATAGAGCTAACCTCACATTAAATCACGAACTAGTAAAAAAACAATATATTTTTCCCTGCATGTATTACCAAAGTAACACCATATTGTGTTAGTAAAACACATGTAAGGCGCCCCTCATTGTTAGTCTTTGAATGTGGTTTGATAATTGTAACGCTATCTGAAATGAGGCCAGCCGCAGCCCCCCATCCCACAAAAAAAATATATGCTGACCCATCTCTTGTGAAAATGCTTAGCATAACTGTCATTTAAATTTTTTTTTTTTTTTTTTTTTTTTTTTTTTTTTTTTTTTTTTTTTTGCATTTCAACTTCAGGTTGATTATGCTTGCTTGCCTGGGGAAGTGAAGCAGCACTTCCAAGCATGTGGCACTGTTAACAGGGTAACTATCCTGACTGACAAGCTTGGCCAGCCAAAAGGCTTTGCGTATGTGGAGTTCTTTGAAATAGAGGCTGTTCAAAATGCACTTCTGTTAAACGAATCAGAGCTTCACGGGCGGAAGTTGAAGGTCCATAACAATCACCTTAATGATTTATCGACTCTGTTTCACCTTCTAGACCTTCTACTAACTATGTTCTTTTTTCATGTATAGGTGTCTGCCAAGCGGACAAATGTTCCTGGTATGAAGCAATTTCGAGGCAGGCGATTTAATCCTTATGCTGAATTCCGCCCTCGTCGTGCGTTTGTGCCTGGTGCTCCAGCCATTCCACCTTTTGGGTAATTAACAATGATGCTATCCTCTGCAGAACCTTATTTTAGTGTGTATATATGCGTATGCATATATATATATTGACAAAGACAAGGTTGTATGCCTTTTCCTTTTCTTTTGCAATACATTTTTTATAGATATTTTTAGCTTTTTCCTCAACTACAAAACCACCAACCCTATTTGTCACATACTGTCGAAACTTCCTTGACTTTTTTTCATAATTTTGTAGCTCATCTAGCATCTAGGGTGGCAAGTTGTACTATGAACTGCTCATATCTTGATACACCTTTTAAGCACCTCCATATCCAGGCAAAAACAAAAGAAACAGGAAACAAAAAGAAAAAGAAATTGCCCCATGTAATACATAAAACAGTACCACTCTAGCATTTTGAACCTGACTAATACATAAATATCCATGGAACCAAAAGTTCAAGCGATGTAACTCTAATCCTCAGCTCTTGAAAAAGAGAAGTAGGAAGGCGACCCAAGGGGAGGGGTCTTCTATTTTCTAATGTGATGATGCTTCTATTTTCTACCATCTTGTGCTCGAGAGAATCCCTCCCCTTGGGTCTTCTTCCAACTTTTCTTTTCTGAGAGGAGCTGATGATTCAAGTTTCATTGCTTGAACTTTTGGTTCCATGGATTTTTATGTTTTAGTCAGTTTCAGAATGCTAGAGTGGTACTGTTTTATTTATTATATGGGGCCATTTCTTTTTCCTTTTGTTCCTGTTTCTTTTGTTTTTGTTTGGGTATGGAGGTGCTTAAAACTTAAAAGGTGTATCAAGATAGGAGCAGTTCATAGTACAACTTGCCACCCTAGATGCTGGATGAGCACAAAATCATGAAAAGAAGTCAAGGAATTTTCGACAGTATGTGACGAGTAGGGTCGGTGGTTTTGTATTTGGGGAAAAAGCTAAAAATATCTTTAAAAATGTGTTGCAAAAGAAAAGGAAAAAACTTACAACTTTGTCTCGGTCAATCTTGATCTATCATTGAAGTACAACCTCCCCTTCTTTACCCCAACCCAAAAAGAAGAGGCATCAAATTGTTTACTTGTCCAAAGCAAAGTGGATCTTTGCTTGACCATTCTTTTGGGGCTAGACATCTTTGTCTGATCTCTAGGATCAGGAGCAAAGAGGTGGTTGGGACATATAGCTCAGAGCAGTTTCCGTCCTGACCAATAATGTTATCCTGGCCTTTGTTACTTCAATAAACATTGGGCTAAAGCTCAGCTTATCTCCTTACTCTGCGAATTTCATTTAAGTACCAGTATCCTGTCAGGTGCAACTTCATAGATTTATCTATCACTCAATTTCTGAAGGAAGTCAAGTTGAATATTAATTGGTTCCCAACTTGGATACAGCCTACTCTGATGCCTTATGGGATCTGCACTTGCCACATAATCTACTTCAACACATGTTTGTTTGACCTACACTGTTGCCCCTACATGAGCAGTAGTTCAGTGCTTCCTGCCTCCCAAATAAAATGGAATCTCGTGTTGTCTTTGGTTGGTTGGGTTTCTAGGCTTACTTCCTTTAAACGAAGTAGGATGTTGGGTTTCTCGTAAAGCCAGAGCATGTGCCATGGTAATTGTGTTGATCTGAAATGGTAACTTTTGTGTTTAATGTTCTTTCGAGTTACTTCTTTCTGTTGGTATTTTGACTAAATATGACCTAAAGTCCTATGCTTCTGGATTAGCAGCTCAGCTACTCGAACTTGTCTATTTTCAAGTTTATCAGTGTGCTTCAGAAGATGAACCTAGAGTCTCGTCTTATTGATGGAAGGGTCTAGTCAGCAGTTCACTGAAATAAACTAGATGACTCCTATGTCTAATCTATTTTACGCAATCACTGTTACATATACCTATCTAAAATGCATCACTTGACTGTTTTTTTAAGACGTTGCATCACAACACTTGCAATGCATTCCGCAGCCGACTTTTTGTACAGGTAGTATGTGCCAAAATCAGCTGTTTTGTTTTTGCAACACTAATGCAAATGTTGGCAACAATGCTCCCTGTACTACTACCAGTTAAGTAATACAAAGTAAACCTTCAGAACTCCAAAAATAGGTGTTGCATCACTAAACTGTTAAATGAGGATAATATAAAACTTACTTGTAGGGTATTTTGTTGCAGTAACACATGTCAACTGATATTAGTCCAACATAAGTTTTTTACAAGATTTGTTGAGTTGAATTTATTTCCTATTATCCTATACGAATTCCTGATAGGCTGGTACTAATCCTTTTATTATCAAAGAGAACTTAAATTGGTGGGAATGCTTTTTATGTCCTTCAACAGAGAGCTGAACTTCCCTAGATTTTAATGGAAGAGTAAATTTTCAGATATTTGTTCATCTGGATTACAGTGTTCCTAATTAGCATGCTCTCAATTTGTCCTCCTTGACTCTTCACTTTTATAAGCTATAATTTAACAGTTGTGCAATTTTTACTCTCTTGTTTGATGTTCACTGTCATCGTCATGTTTTGTCTTCACATGATTCAAACTGATGCCTGCTTGATGATTACATCAAACTTTAGTTAATAAGTATTGTGTTGTCGTCTTATTTGCAGAAGGGTTCCAAGGTTCCGACGTTCCATCCGCTACAGGCCATACTAGTGGATCTTAAGCTGGATTGCAGCCTTCCCGAGAGAAGCATGGGGCTCGCTTTGTGAAAGAGGCATCTCCTTATTTTTCTTTCTTTGGGAGGGCAAAGGATGTTATAATTCAAATAAGTCATAAGCTGACATAAATTTCAACTCTGGATGATGTTTTAGGTGTGTGGGGATTGAGAAGTTTTTTCTTAGCTAGCTTGCTCAGGTGCTTGCATTTTGGGCAGCAAAAGGAAATGACAAATAAAATAGACATTTTGTTGGAGATGGGTATATTCTCTTTGAATTATGGTTGTGGTTTGGTCACTCTTAAGCTCCCCTCTCCTAAACCTCCTTGTCCCCAACTTCAAATCCTAATAGCTACATGCAATAAGACCAATGGTGTTTAGTTTTCCGAAAGGACTATTTATTACATGTTAGGGTAGATACACAATGCTTTGATATAGACGTAGATGAAATTTTTGTAGTGTGTGGTAAAGCGTCTTGTTAATAGGAAACCGCACGAACATAACAATTGAAGTAGTCCAAGTTGGTAATTGCATGAAGGGGAAAGAAATCTAAAATTTGGTCGAAAACATAGGTCGAATTGAACTACTTTCAAGTCATCATAATATGATTTCGTAGTTCTAGGTCCAAAACTCCCAATTTCCATGCTCATTTTAGGCATGGTATCATGCACCTCTCTTTCATGACATATATATTCAGTTGTGGCCCGTAGACATGATCAAAACACCTTTCTTTGAGAAAGAATCAAAATAGAATCAACTTGAATTCGAAACATGAATTGAATGATGAAATAGCGTGTAAATATCAAAAGCGATGTAAAGACTTTTATTCCAAACGTTGCATCCAAAATTGCCCAAAATTTATACTTTTTACCCCTAGGACTAAAATCACAATTTTCACATATATAACTACGAATTTAAGCTTAAAAATTATGCATACTAATGAAAAAATGGTCAAAACTTAGGTATAATCACATACCCCTTGTTCCATACAAGAAACACCCATCGAAAATCGCTTCTTATGACTTCACCTTCTTTTTTTAAAAAGACTTTGAACCGTTCCAATCTGATCGAGTATATAATCTAGGTGAATAAACGAGTCTAATCACACTCGTATTGACATATAAAAGTTCGGATCAAAATCAAATACAAGATGTCGAAACCATCCGTTCAAAACTGCAATTTTCTTTCAAAATTAGTTAAGCCATAAAACTCAAGTCGAAAATAGAGTTCGAATCAACCCTCAAATCTTAAAAATACAATTTCATAATCTTATGCCCGAAATCCCTATTTTTATGCTCATTTGCATATGCAGACTTTCCTTTTGCATATATAGCGCACCAATACAAACAACGGCTAACTTTGAAAAGTAGAATTAGTTAGGGTTTAGCGAATGGCTTCTACATCGAATCCAGACACCCATGAATCACCGTAAGCAGATCAATTCATCTCGCCTTTGCTCAAATCAATTTGTATCTTCCCAACTTCACATTAATCAACTGTTTTTTTCTGCTCCAATTTGCAGGCAGAAAAGCGTCTATAAAGATCCGGATGATGGGCGCCAACGTTTCTTGCTGGAACTCGAATTTGTTCAATGCCTCGCTAACCCCACTTACATTCACTGTATCTATCGATTCCCTTCTCTTATTAAACATGATAATTTCTGGGTATTTCTCAAAATGACCAATTATAGTTAGTTTTATGTTATACATGTTGTTGGATGATTCATTCTTCTTCGTTATGTTTTAAGTGTGTGAAAATGCATATTTGGGTGCAAAAGCTTCAATTTTTCTATCCCTTTTTGATTTTTTTGATTTTTTTTTGTGCTTGACTTTGTATTGATTCTGATGCAGATTTGGCTCAGAATAGATATTTCGAAGATGAAGCTTTTATTGGGTACTTGAAGTACCTTCAATACTGGCAACGACCTGAGTACATAAAGTTTATAATGTGAGTTAGTTTCTAGTATTAATATATGATAATAGTTATGTATGTTCTTTCTACTGCAACTTTTTAGATGCAGTTCAATTCCATGCTTTATTTGGTTGATGGTCCTTGTTCCTTTTCTGTTTGCTGTGGACTATGGGTATCATTAACTAACAGTATTGATATTCCCTTTCTTAATGTTAATGCAGGTATCCACACTGCCTATTCTTTCTCGAGCTTCTCCAAAATCCAACATTTCGTAATGCAATGGCGCATCCTGCTAACAAGGTAAAAAGTTATGTCATGTGTTGCCCTGGTTTCCTTCTCCACTTTTGCTATACCCTTTAATTAGTTAAGACTGTCAGCCACTATAAAGAAAGTCTGTCCCACTTTGTGTAATGGACAAAAAATGCAGCCAAAGCACTTTATAATACATGTTACTTCATCGTCTTAGCCATCAGCCTTATTTCCCTTTCTTAACTTTTTCGTAGTTTCTAAACATAAAACTTATAATTATTTAATTGCGTTGTCCAGGTTAATTCTCTCCCCGAGGACTTCTCATCTCATTTCACTTTTTATTAACTATTGCACTTTGTTTGCCAACCTAAAGTTCTGGCATATAAATCTGTGATAGGATCTAATCTACATGTTTGTAACAACTATTAGGAAGTGGCACATAGGCAGCAATTTTACTTCTGGAAGAACTATAGAAATAACCGGTTGAAACATATTTTGCCGCGGCCGCTTCCTGAGCCTGCAACTGCACCAAGTTCGGCTCCACCTGCATCACTACCATCAAGTGTAGCCCCTCCAGCCGCTCCACCTCTTGCTCCTACACCTGTTACAGCTGCAGCTCTTTCCCCGATGCAGTACGCCATCCCTCCTGGATCTGGTCTTGCTAAAACTGACCCAAGGAATGCTTCTGTTGATCGAAGAAAGAGAAAGTATTTCCTCTCGTCTTTTACTTTTCTCTTACTGTGAAAACTTTGTCAAAGCTTGTTGTTGCATGCTCCCTATTGTTGTGTTTTTATATTTTAGGGTTAGATTTATGACGTAATGTTTCTGACATAGTTAATGACTTGGATAATTTTGTTTTTAGCAGGAAAGACGGATGATTTTCTTTACTCATAGCACATACCTCCTATCAATTAATTCATGAATTAAGGTAATACATTTTGCACCCCATGATTTCATTTTTAGAATAAGTGTTGCAGTTCCCTCATTGGCAAACACATTTATGAAATCCTATTAAGAGTGATTTGTTGTTTGTCGAATTTTAAAGTCCTTACCAAATCTCAAGCACGATCTGTAGTGGCCTGTACTTTCTTTCTCGTGTCAGAAAACATAGTACTAAAGTTTTGCGAGAGATCAACCACACATTTTTGTTGGGTTCTCTAGGATCAAATTTCTTTAAGAAATAAATATAGAACTATTTTTTTCCCAAACCAAGTAACCAAAACATTAAGGAAGCAGCCCTCCTTTGAACTCTTCTGGGATGCCCTCATTGTGGTTTCAATTGCTTAATTTCTCAGGCTTTTAGTTCAGACATCTGGTGATAGGTGACTGGAAGATTGCTAATGCACACTTATTGCAATAATGGGTTATCAATGGAGTGAAGAATTCCAATCACCATATTAAAATGTGAACTTCAGATTTTGATGATAAATGAAGGAGCTGCTTCTCTAGTGTGGTCTAAGTTTACGAACCTTTGTCTATCATCTATGGTAAATGGGAGGAGTATTTTCCACCATGATCAAACATTCAGTGTCATGATGTTGCTTAGATCTTACGTATCATTTTTTGACTCTACCAATGGTACATGACCTAAGTTGGAACCTAGTTGTTTTTATCCTACATGTATTGTCATTCTTGTTGCGGAAACCGAATATTTAGAGTGATAAAATCACAACTACTATATTGAGAGACAACTTATAAATAGTAACTGAGACAATAATAAAAAAGAACACCAAAAATTTATGAGGTTCGGCAAAATTTTGTTTTTTGCCTAGTCCTCGGTCAAATCCTACCAAACTTTATTATACTCCAAAAGAACACAAGTGAAATACTTCAAGAGTGGAAGAAGTTTAAATGCCTTAGAAGATGAGAAGGCAAATGAGATGTGTGTTACAAATGAACCAAGAGCTACCTATTTATAGAAAATGAATTTTTTCCTTTAATGTCATCAATGACACGATTGGTATGCAAATATCAAGCTTTAACTTGTGAAACCATTTAATGGTTTGTCAAAATTTCTACTACAAATTTATACATTGACATTTTATGCCAATGAAGAATCATTTTCCTTCAAATGTTTACACTAGTTCATATAACATCTTTATAAAACATTTATGTAAGTATTGGTGACATTTTGTATCACACAAGACAACGGATCCAAACCTCCAATTTATCCACCCTGCTCTAATACAATGTGTGACATCATCCTCAATCTCTTCATTTCCTTGTTTAATTGACCCGTGATACTTGAAACTTTCTCTCTTGGAGATGACTTGAGTGTCGATCTAAACTTCCACATTTGCCTAGTGAATTACATCAGTGAACTTGCACTCCAAATAATCTATCGTAGTCCTACTTAATATGAACCCTTTAGACTCCAGGTTTGTCTCCACACCTCCAGCGTAATGTTATGTCTACTGCATGCCTCATCTATCAACACTATGTCATCTACAAATAATATACACCATGGCACCCCCCATCCCTCAAATATGTCGTGTTTGTTCATCCATCGCCACAACAAATAAAAACGGGCCAAGAGTTGAACCTTGGTGCAACCTCGTCACGATGGGGAAGTGCTCTGAGTCTCCTTCCACTATCCTCACTCGGGTCTCGGCTCCATCGTATATGTCCTTAATCGCCCTAGTGTAAGCTACAAGTACACTTTTAGCCTCATAACATCTCTATAGAACTTCCTTAGGGATTTTGTCGTGTGCCACCATATGTAACTTTGTCTTCCTCTCTCTAGACTACCTTATCAATCTCCTTACGAGATGAATGGCTTCAGTAGTTGAACAATTTCACATGAAACTAAATTGGTTCTCGATAATAAACACACCCTCTACCCCCCACCCCACCCTGCATGCGCATCTCCATCACCCTCTCACAGACTTTTAGAATGTGGCTTAGCAGCTTGATACGTTTATAGTTGTTGCATTCTGAATATCACTTTTGTTCTTGTATACAATAGGCTTATCATACTCCACCTTCATTCTTTGGGCATTTTTGACGTCTTAAAAGTGATGTTAAACTAGGAGTGGGCATGATATAGTAGATATCGAATATCATACCGAAATAAAAAAATTTGATACTGCAGTTTTAATATTATGGTATTTGGTATGCATTTAAAAAAATTGGTATTCGATATTTATAAGAAAAATATCGTAATATCGAATGCCATACCGAAGTTTATAGTTACATGTAAAATTCATATATATTATTGTAATAGTAGCAAATATATAAAATAATATTAATATAAAACTAATTATTCAGGAGTTGGAACTTTGAATACTCTATCTTGATTAAAATGTTTTTTTGGGTTATTGATTAACAAAGGGGATTTACTGGTATTTTCTTTTGAATGTTTCCACATGTTTAAGGTGTTAGTATGGCATAATTGAGACGTCTTTCGAAAAGTCAAAATCATAATTCTCTATTATATGATTTACGTGAGTTCGGAAAAGAAATATTTTGTGTGAGTTGAAGTTGACCAAACTGTGGTTATCTACCGTACCGCAAAATACCAAAGTCAAACTTTAAAATACCGAACCATACCAAATTACGTTGGTAGGGTAATGGTATAGTATATTTAAAAATAAAAAATTAAATTACCGAACTGAAATTTTCAGTTCTGTACCATGCCAACCCCTGCGTAATACAACTCAGTTAGCCACTCCTTGCCTGCAGTAGCTGCACTCTTCCAAAATTCCACTGGGATCTCGTCTGGCCCGGTCGTCCTCCCGCTTCCCATCTTACTAACCTCCTTAATCTCCTCAAACTTAATAACCCCTACAATTCCCTAAATCTGGACTACTCTCTGAGTGCTCTGAATCTCCCATCACAATATTCCTGTATCCTCCTTCATTCAAGAGTTCATGGAAGTATGAGTTATGACTAATGTGTGCCTCTTCCATCAATACTCTGCCTTTATTGTCTTTGATGCACTTAACTTGGACAAGGTTACGGTCCCTCCTCTCTCTCGCCTCGGTACGAATTCCTCTCCCCACCTTTGGCTTTGTTGTTATTCTTTCCCCTTTGACTCTTCTAACTTCGTATCCTCAAAGTTGCAGGTACTGACTCTCAAGGGCCTACTGTCTTTCCAGAAAACTATGCAAAAGATGAACTTTATCCATTTGGCTTGAATTGGGTGGTGTGACACTTTAGAATTGGTACAACCTAGATCTGTCGACCTGAAATTAAATGCAGCACACAAAATTATACTAGCTGTAGCACTTCCACAAAAATGGAATTCCAAGGATTTCCATGTTATCACTCATGTCTTTTCCCTTTTTGGTCAAGTGAAGTGCTTCCCCGTATATATTTATGAGTTTTAGTTAGAAACTATGCCGTGTGTCCTCCTCTCGACAAGATGTACTCTTTCCTGTATACTTAGCACATAGTTCTCCAATGTAAAATCAAGTGTTGTGCTTATACTTTATTCTGGTTGGTCAAATTGACCTACTTGCGGCTCTGTGACCACTCATTAAACTTATATATATATATGCTTAAGCGGAAAATTGGGTATACTCCAATTGAGCATATGGTGTGTTTCTTCCATTATCCTGATAATCTCTATTCTTTAAATCTAAGAATGGCTTTTTGGGTTCTATAGGAGCATTACACCGAACATATCACTTTGTGTTAAAATATTCCAATCTGCATGCGTTGGTTCTTTAATTATCCTATAACAGCTATGTTGCATCCTATACGTGGAATCTAATTTCACAACCACTTGTAGGTGATCATCCATGGAATTAGACTACCTCCTATGTTTAGAAAAGAAGTCAACCCTGTTTAATTGCTGTGTGCAGTTTCAAGAATGGAGCTTGGCAGTTGTATACTGCAATCTGGTGCACCACAAAACAAAACAAAAATAGAAATTTTAGTTTTTCCTGCAGGCCTGTCACCTGTTGTGCTGCTGAAGCTAGTAGTAGCTCATGTGGTAGTGTAAGGAGCTAAACCTTGGAATTGTAATACCATCGAAACAGAGGCGTATCTAGAGGGGGTGCCGTGGGTTCACGTGAACCCATGCTCCACTCTCTAGATCATATATAGTAGTATTATATTTTTAAAAAAATATTTAAATATAGATGTGTGAACCCATGGTCAAAGAATCATATAATAATACGATGATGATTAGGTGCACCTCTCTAACTGAGGATAGAAATTTAAATCTTATATCTATCTTGTCTTTTTGAGTAACACCACTCCAAGTGGTTATCGGTGACACTTTTGACGTTTCAACTAATTCTTCTTTTGTATTTTTGCCTTTAATCTTTCAAAATTTTCATGTGTCTTACATTGAAAATTCCTAAAAAAATTAAGCACTGTAATTTTTTTAGATAATTAAATCAATTGTGTATATTAAAATTTAAAACTAATAGTATTATATATTTTGAATCTATAGTTTTTAAAATTTAATGGTTCATATTTAGAACCTAAAAGTCAAATGATCAAATTTATATTTAAGATACATTTCTTTGTAATCGTGCACCCATTTAACCGAAATCCCGGATACGCCTCTGCTGATCGAAACGTCCATTTCTCTTTTCTCTCATGCTGGAGAAATGCATGCCTGCCAGCAAATAGCTTATTATTGAACAGGTCCAGTGTGCTACCTTAGCCTAATGAAGTCCTTGAATATGGTTTCTCATCCCTTGTATGGAACTTTGAGGTAATATTATGTTGATGGCTTCTTGTGCAGTATAATTGAATTACTAGTGTTTTCTTGACAATTCTAAGCTTGCCCTCAAGTGGTGGCGGCAATTATAACCCCAAATTTGTTCGACCCTCCCAAACCCCATAAAAATTCATATTCAATCTGCTCATTTAAATCTGGACAGTAAATATGGGTTAACCTGTTTGCAACCCACAATAGAACGTGTTAAATGCGGATTGAACGCGTGAAGACAATTTAGAAATTTGTTGGTTTCTGTGGTAGATGTGAGCGATATTGCATTCTAGAGTATTTGACTCGTATATGAGATGGTTTCTCCCTTTTCACTAGGAATTCTTGTCGACTTCACAAAGCAAAGGCTGGGTTTTAACTTTTACATATATCCACTCTTCTTTTATTCTTTTGGATAGGATCTGTACTTTTTTAAGTTGTTTACATAGAGATATGTCACATGTTTGACTTGGTTTGCGGTTTGGTGTGTATAGTGGATGGATACAAACAACTAGCATTGTGCAATGCAAACTAAATTTTTTAGATACAAGTGATGAAACTTTTACGGCGGGAAGGGTTTGTTTTTTTGGATAAAGCACAAGTATCCTCCTAGACTATGACCAAATTTCAAAGACACACCTTAACTAAACTAAGGTCCTATTACTCCTAAATTTAATTTTTTTAAAATTTTGTACACCTTTTTGGCATACGTGGCATCAAAATATCTCCCACGTGCCTCAACTACGTGGAGTTACGGATTGTGCCCCGTAAGCCAAAAGGTGTATGAAATTACAAAGAGAAATGAGTTCAGGGGGTACTAAGGCTTTAGTTTAATTAAGGTGTGTCTCTGAAATTTCGGTCATAATCTAGGAGGATACTTGTGCCTTATCCCTTTTTTTTTCAAGAACTATAGCTAAATTGTTCGTATATTACATGTGAACTTTTTTAAGTACGAAAGCTATGTTTCACATTTTTTAGCATCATCCCAATTTTCCTTTTGAATGAACTTCAAACGATTTATTTTCAGTCGTGAACTATCTCATTCCTTTGGTCGTAGAAAATGTAAGGATTGATACATAAAATAATTTTATTTTTTATTTAACTGATAATGTAATCATGATATTTTAGCTATTTGCATCAAGTTCAAACTTCCTACATGTGCAACCACACTGTCTCAAAAGCACACATTAAAATTTTAATTGGTATATATGAGACTCAGGAGGAGGGTGAAGTACGAAGAAGGAAAAAAAAAAAACTTGAAAGAGTTAAGTGAAAGTGATGTGGAGCGCGTGTAGTCCATTTTTTTAATTTATGATTAGTTAGGGTCCAATATAGAGGTAATAATGAATCTTTGACCAAAATAAGTCATTATTAAAATCCATTCATCAAAATAGTACATTTTTTAAAAATTTTATGAAACTTGTATAAACGTGGTTCACAATAACGTTTTAGGCTTTATTTTATTCAAGGACAAAACGGTACAAAACGACAAAAAGCTGACGGCAATAAAACGTGACTGTCAATAACGTTTTAGACTTCGTTACTGACAAACACGTTTTACAGCTATACATGAGTGACATTTCATATTTCGTTACTTTGAGTCACGTTTTATGGCTAAAACGTCACTCACAATAACATTTATTTAGAATCTAATCACGGGCTCTGTAAATTAGGAATCGAATCCTGCGAAAATCTTGCAGAGTGTAAGACGTAATTGGAAGTAACGTTTCACACTTAAAATGTTACTCAAAAGTACGTTTTATGTTTCGTTACTCTCAATCACGTTTTAACTGTAAAACGGTACTCTACGTAACATTTCTTTAGAATCCAATCACGGGACTGCAAATTAAGAATCAATCCTGGCAATGCAGAATCTTGCAGATTATAAAACGCTACTGCTAGTCACGTTTTAACTTTAAAACGTGACTAGCAAGTACGACACTCAGCTAAAGTTATACTTTTTCATTTTTCAAACTGACCACATGATTTTTTATATAAACCTTGTTGAAACAAATAAATGTTCAACACATTCCAACATTATTCAGCCAAGTTTTTTCTTGTGTAGTCCATTATTGAAACAATTTTCACAAAAGTTCATAGGTATGAATAAAATAAGTCAAGTTAATATATCATATTATGTTATTATTTTATCATAGTTCTATAAATATTTTTCTGATTTATTGATTATAAAATGTCTTATTTTATGTGTAGGAATCAAAATGGCAAATTTTGAGCATAATGTGATGGTTGCTTTGTATTGGGGTGGCGAAATAATTACTGAAATGAATGGATTTAGGTATACTGAATGTGCTAGAATGATTATTAGTATGTCTACTTCAACAAGTTATGTTGAATTGGTTGAATTATTGCATGAGAAGATGGAAACAAATAGTGAAAATATTGAAATGAAAATTTCTGGAAAATATCCATGTTCAATTCAAGGTAGCAATGCAAGGTTTATTGAGTTTAAAATTGAGAATGATCAATCCTTGCAACAATTTTTTCTCATACCTCAAAAATTTGCGGATAAAATTGATATAAATGTTTTGGAGATGTATGTAATGACCAAATCAAGAAATCAAAATGTTGTATTTCAAATTAGTGGTCAACATGGTTTTCACATGAATCTATTGGCTCAAAATTATGGATTTGCCACGATCAGTCAACCTCATTTTGCAGAACCGATTATTCCACCATCATTCCAACAATTGTCTATGCGTGACCATCGACCATTTGGTGAAGGCTCAAGTAGCCAAAGACATTTTGATAGTAGTCACATGGAATATGAGGCCAGGTAAAGTAACAAGTTTATATTTTACTTAATTTTAGTGTAACAATTTGTTAACATAACTTGTTGAGTAGTTTATTATTTAATTAATTTCACAACTTTGTTAGAATTTAACTAAAAAAAATTTCACAGAGAAAATGAGACCGACATTGATTTACATAATGATGTAAATACTGAAATTAGTGATGAAAGTTCGGAGGAAGATGAACCTTCAAAAGATGATGATGAAAGTGAACCTAATGAAGATATAGTTGATATTAGAGATTTTTCTCAAAATGATATTGGTATAAATCATTCTAATCGATGTGAACAGGATGTGCCTGAAATGCAAAATCATGATGTACCCTATTTCAGGACCTTGGAGAATGAGGAAGACATTTTCATGTCTACATGTGAATCTGAGATGGAACATTGTTCAGTTTGGTCTGAGGATACTCAAAAAGACTTGAAAAAAGGTATGTGTTTTAGTAGTAAAGAAAAACTAAAACGGGCTGTGGCGATTTGGAGTTTGAAAAAAAATAAAGAGTTCAAGGTGGTAACATCAAACAAGAGTCTATGGGTTGTGAGATGCAAGTTTTATGCTTTATTGGGCTGCTTGTGGTTTCTTCGAGGACAAAAGGTTGGAGATAATCTTTGGAAAATTGGAAAATATATTGAAAATCATAGATGTGAAACTGAAGGGCTTTCTAGAGGTCACGCCAACCTAAATACCAATTTGATTGCATCCTTGATTCTAAATCAAATTAAACATAATCCTAAAGTTTTGGTGGTAGATGTCATTTCGAAGGTTTGGCCATCAAGTTACATACAGCAAGGCGTGGCTTGGACGTCAACGTGCATTTGAATTGGTGTATGGTGACTTTGAGAAATCATTTAGTGACTTACCCAAAAAATTTTGCAGCTTTTCAACACTTTAATCATGGAACAATTGTGGAATGGAAACATGAAGAGTCTATGAGTTCATTGGAGGTAAAAACTTTTAAATTTGTATTTTGGGCTTTCAAGCCATGCATTGATGGATTCCAAACATGTCGCCCTGTTATTTCAGTAGATGGAACTCATATGTATGGAAAATATGACATAAAGTTATTGATTGTTGTTGGAATTGATGGAAATTATAACATTCTTCCTCTAGTGTTTGCTATTGTAGA